GTGGGCCCCGCTGTCCATGCCCGTGGTGTGGGAGCCTGGCCGTGCTCAGCGCACAGGGTCCTATGGCTGAGACTCATCACTCAGAGGACACAGAGCAAAGGCAGGGAGAGAAGGTGCTGGCAGGACCAGAGGCAGCAGGCACGGCGCAGAACCTCCGGGGCCTGGCAGGTGTGACGCGGGACCCAGAGGCCGTGGGCCCTTTACTTCCTTGTTATGAAACCCGTGTCCATGTTCAGTGATGCCAGCTGCCCCTCCCAGCTCTCCCCCTTTCTCACCCAGAACCAGCCTTCCCCCGACCCTCCTGCTGGACACAAGAGGGACAAAAGCATTTTTGCTGAGAAATGGAGTCAGGAAGCTGGCCCAGTGACGGGCAGGTGAGACAGCGGATCCCCGAGTGCCCGCCCACCTGCCCCGCTGGGTTCCGCACTGCTGTCTGGCAGCCACACTGCCTCCCCAGGGCGGGCCTCGGGCTCCCCTCCCAGGCTAAAACTGCGCACCCCCAGGTGGACCTGTAGCGGGAGGCGGGTTGGAGCCCCACCTGCTGGCTCCAGCCAGGGCAGCGGTGGACCTYGGCCAGAGCGCGTAGGGCCTGGGGTTCCAGCTTCCCACAGTCGTCGCTGCCTGGTTTGAGGGTGTCCAGCTGTCCATGGCATCCCCTTGCCCTCTGTGTTTCCTCTAGGTGACAAGCGTCCAGAGGGATCTTGACCATGGTGTCTGTGGAGCACACGTCACAGTTAGACCACCGCCCTGGTGAGAAGTGTGGCCGTCACAGCCCTGAACTCAGTACCCTGTGACTCTCCCAGAAGTGCCCTGCCCGGGTGTGGCCACTGTCCACCTCGCACTGTGCGAGGCTTGAGTGGCAGCCCATCAGTGCTGTGGTGTAGCTCACGCTGGCCACAGTGCCTGCGCTGGCCAGCTCAGGACAGCCCGCCTGGCCACACGCATGTAGGTGTTTGTGGCAGGGGGCYGAGGGTGGGCTGGTGCCCGGCTCGTCACAGCTGCTGGCAGGTGGCAGAGGTGGTCAAGGTGAAAGGAACCTCTCTGTTTTTCCAATCTGCTTTTCTTCARAGAGGCAGGAGTAGGGCTGAGCGCCTTCTCAGAAGTTGTGGCCGGTGTCTGCCTCCTCTCCTCCCTYRGCCCGCGGCTCCCTCACCTCCCCCTTCCTGCAGCAGCCTGGGCTGCCCTTCCTCCCCGGCGGGCTCCTGGTGGCTCAGGCAGCAGCTGCTCAGGTCTGGTGTGGAGCTGGGGTCTGGTCTTTGACCYGACTCCACTGCTCCCCTCGCACCTGGCCTGTGACTGGGAGGAGGCAGGTGTGCGTGGGAAAGCAGGCTGTAGCAGAGCTGGCAGCCGCAGGTGAGGTCTCCTCTGCTGCTGGCCCAGCCTGGCACCGAGGCCTCTCCTTCTGCCAGTCTCCCAGAGAAGCAGCAGCATGTGCTGGAGCAGTGGAGGAGCAGCTGGCCCAGGTGAGCAGCCAGGCCACAAACAGGGGGAACAGCTTGAGCCCTTCACAGCCGCGCTCAGCTGCCTGGCCCCCGAGTCAGCACGGCGGGCAGGGCCCACAGGTGCTGGAGTTCCAGGAGGCCCGTATGGGTCCCATTGGGCCCCCGCCTGTCTTCCCGGGTGGGCACAGGTCCTTCCTGTGATGGGATCCTGCCGGACCAGATGTCCCTGATGCCAAGTCCTGTGTCTTTCCTCCTCCTTCCTGAGCTTTGGAAGTCCTGATGTTCAGCCTGCCCAGGGGGAGAGAGGTGGTAAGGACCAGGGTTCCCTGAGGGTCCTGCTTGGTGATACCTGGGTGACAGCAGGTGCAGTCTTGATGCGCTGGGGTTGGGGTGTGCCCCTGGGGCGGGGTCCCAGGGACAGCAAGTCTGGGCTATGCAAAGGGTCTCTGGCCTCCCAGCTACACCAAGGCCGCTGCCCTTACTCTACCTTGGCCTTGGAGGTGGGCAGACGTCAGGCCGATGCTGTTTCCCCTCAGGTGCGAGAGGCTCAGTGGAGAGAAGGTCTCCGGRGAGCAGAGGGAGAGGCCGTCTCAGCTGTSKKTSKYWCTMMYKAMKKMASKCRRMSGKYRSTWMSTACRWWCGTGAGGCGCTGTGTGSGAGGAGCAGCGAGCGTTGRTGGTGTGGTGACCTGGAACSAAGGCCCCGACGTCACGCCCCAGCATGTCGCCCTGGCTCTCACCTGCTGGCGTCCCAGCTCCGACTTCAGCCCGGCCGAGCCTCCTGGACAGCAGAGACCGCATCGCATCGGAGCCTCTGGTGGGCCTGGGGAGGGGCCTCAGTGCCCCTCAGGGCCTGCCTGTCCTCCCCTCAGCAGGGCCTCGTCTTCACACTCCCGGCTCCATGGAGGCCACAGACCCCTTGTCYCTTGCCCAGTGGCCACTCTCCAGTTCCCATCTCCCTGGGCTGAGCGTCAGGCATGCCACGCAGACCCTCCACACACAGATGCCGACTCACGCTGCCCTGCCTCGGTTTCCCAATGCCGTCTCGCCAGGTCTACCCTAACGCAGGGGCCGGCTTTGGGGTGCTGGCCCTGTGGTGCAGTGCTCTGCTCCCCGACTGTCTGCAGCTGTTGGCTCCCTCAGGGGGTTCACCTGGGGCTCCCTCGCCCACWGCCTAAACTACGATCCCAACAAGGGGGCTCCAGTTCCCTGTGTGAAGGGCCCCTGGTCAGCCCCAGGGGGCCCTTGGTGGCCCTCCAGGCCAGGCCCCCACAGTGGGGCTTCAGCGTCCAGCACCTCAGAGTCACTGAGGCGAAGCTGGGCTCCCGGCATGGGAGCAACTCTAGGAGGCCGAGCTGCCTGACCTGCTCGGGCAGGGCCTTCCTGTGCTTGGATCCACAGCGCAGCTGCAGGACAGGTGTTCCCAGGTGGTGGAGGTGGGACCAGGGCCTGGGAAAGGGGCCAGCAGTGAGTYGGCCTGACAGTCCCATCTCACAGAAGGTCAGGCAGCCCTTGCCTCCTGTGCAGATGAGACTAACCCGGGAACTTCCAGTCTGCTCTGTTCTCCAGGTTGCCTGGCTCGGGCCAGCCCAGGACAGTGGGCAGGGCTGCGGTGAGCGGAGAGCTCCAGGGCAGAGGCTGGGCCTCCTCCCGAGGGACTGCACACCTCGGAGGCTGTCCCTGAGATCGAAGCCCACGCACACCTTTGGGTTCACCTCACAGCTGCAGTAACTGCACTCGCCCCTCAGCCTGCCAGGCAGGGGCCGCCAACACCGCCATCACCGTGAGCCACTAGRTTTGGGGGTGGATTGTTACTCAGCAAATGTTAACATAAAACAGGTTCCAAAAATGGGGTGCTGTTGTGGCCCCCCCGATCCCCATGTTGAAGTCCTAATCCCCCACGTGATGGCACAGAGTCCTAGGGTGCTCATGAGATTGAAAGGTGGTGGGCAGGTGGGGTGGGGCTCTCTGGGAAGAGTCAGGACTGCAGGGCTTCCCTCCACAAGCATGCCACAGGGAGGGCCTCACAGGCCGGGAGCACCCACCTCCAGGAACAGAATCTGCTGGCATCCTGACCCTGGACTTCCAGCCCCTGAACCGTGAGGAATCAATGTCTGTGGCATTAGTCGCTCAGTCTGTGGATCCCTTAGAGCCAAGATAGGTGTGAAAAAACCAGCACCCAAGTCCCATACAGCRTTGACCTTGAGCCCAGCATCGGACAGAGTCCAGGAAATCAGCACTCTGCTAGCAGAGAGCAAGAGGTGGGGGAAGCCAGGGGCAGTAATAATCATACTTGTGAWCCCAGTGGCTCAGGAGGCCGAGGCAGGAGGATCATGAGTTCAAAGCCAGCCTCAGCAACAGCAAGGCACTAAGCCACTCAGTGAGACTCTGTCTATAAATAAAATACAAAATAGGGCTGGGGTGTGGCTCAGGGGTCCAGTGCCCGAGTCCAGTCCCCAATGTGCCCCACTCCCCTCAAAAAAGAGGTGTTGGAAAACAGGAGACCCATGTGCATAAGGAGAGTGTTAAAARTGTCTCCACCTGCACAGGCTTCAAGGGTGAAGAAGCCAGAGAAGAAACTGTCCAGTCTGCAACCAGAGTATGTGACAGAACTGGAGTTGGCACTGTTCCAGAAATAACACCATTTCACATCTTGTCCCTGGTCAGCAAGATTCTTTAAAAAAAAGCTTGAGGGCAAAGAAGCAAGGTGGTGCCATGACACTCTTTTTATAAGGCCTTAGAAATGTTTTAGATACTTTCTAGAACAAACTCCTTGAGCTAGACAAGAGGGATTCTAAAAACTTGAAAAATGCTGTCCCACAGCATTCTAACACACCATACAAAATTGAGAAAATATTTACTCAAAACTTAAAGTGCATTTTTGTCTAATAAAGTCGACTGTAATTTTCTTCATAGGCAACCAACGATATTTTTAAGGGACTTGTGTCAGTCTTAGTGAAAAGGGACTGAGATGGTTCAAAATCAAAAGAGGTCTTTGGATTCCAATCTTTCTACAGGCAGTGAGCAGTGTGAAAAACTATTCATATTACAAATCTGAGTCTGTTCATCTTAACTTTTTTTATTATCTATCTTTCCTTTTACTTTTTTGAATTTTCCTTTAAAAGTAATATTCTGTTGTTATTTAATGCTACAGTTTCTTTTTAAACTCCTGGGCTCAAGCAACTGTCGACCTCACCCACAGCTGGCTTTCCTTGCAGTTTCTCCAAGGTTATGACTTATAATCTTGTTCACCTTTTCTTATTTCCCACACTACCCCTATTTTCTTTTGCGTTCTAAAAAATTCTGTTTCTTGGTTGTCTATTAGAAGCAGTCTCCTGATATCTTTTTTGCATTCACCTTGAAGAATGAGATGAAGGGAAGTTATGAGGGCACAGGTGAGGCCTGCTGACCACAGAGCAAAGCTGGCACCGTCCAGCACTGCCCAGGGTCCCTCAGGTCTCTACCTTGGGAAAGCCTGCCGTGCCCATCAGCGACGCCGGCCTTTCCTACCCTTCTTTCCCGCCGGGTGCAGACAGAGGGAGGCTTTCAGAGGCAGAAACCTTTATTGTCTCCCTGGCTGCACAGAGTGAGAACAGGCCTGCGGTGTGGGAGGCCCCAGAGGTGCTGCCCCTACCCTGCGCACCCCGCGTGCGCTCACTCGGCCTCGTGCACCCGCCGGTGCTGGATCAGATGGAAGCTGAGGCTGAAGGCCCGGCCGCACTCGGAGCAGCGGAACGGCCTCTCGCCCGTGTGCACCCTCTGGTGCCGGAAGAAGCCGGACAGTGCCCGGAAGGCGCGGCCGCACTGGCCGCACTCGTGGGGCTTCTCGCCCGTGTGGATGCGGCGGTGCTCGCTGAGGAAGGAGGCGCGGCTGAAGGCGCGGCCGCAGTCCGGGCACGCGTAGGGCCGCTCGCCCGTGTGGACCCGCTGGTGCTGGAGGAGGTTGGAGCTCTGGCTGAAGGCCTGGCCGCAGTCCGGGCACGCGTACGGGCTCGCCCCGCGGTGAGTCCGCTGGTGGCGCACCACGTTGGAGCTGTGCGCGAAGGTCCTGCCGCAGTCGCTGCACGGGTACAGCCTCTCTCCAGTGTGGATCCGCCGGTGCTTGGCGGCGTCCGACCTCTGGCCGAAGGACTTGCCGCACTCGGGACACTSGTAGGGCTTCTCGCCCGTGTGCACCCTCTGGTGTCTGAGGAGGTTGAAGCTCTGGCTGAAGGCCTTCCCGCACTCCTGGCACACGTAGGGCTTGTCCCCGTGGTGAGTCCTCTGGTGCCGCACCACGTGCGAGCTGTGGATGAAGGCCTTCCCGCAGTCGCTGCACTCATAGGGCTTGCCCCCAGAATGGATGCTTTGGTGCTTCACCACATCTGAGTGGCATTTGAAGCTCCGGTCACAGGTGTCACACTGATAAGGCCGCCCTCTGCAGCGGCCTCGCTGATCTGTTCCCGGGCCTGAGTTAAGTGTGCTGTCTGATCTGGACACACCACCCTGGCCATGGCTGGGCCCTCCAGTTCTCTCACCAGTCCCCAGTCCCCTGGGGCCCTCTCCAGGCCTCTGTGCCACGTCCACATGTTCACCAAGGTCCTGAGACCTGGGTGCTCTGGGTGGCCCCTGCAGGAACACAGGCACAGCCTCTTCAAGGCATCCTCTTGCCCCTGAAGCCTCCAGCTGTGCAGTCAGCCCCACAGTCTGCACTGCCTGCCCAGCACACACTGGAAATGTAGTTTTCACAGCTAGAGGAGATCAGACATGCACAAGCTTAGACACAAGATGACCGTCACCATGATACAGGTGAATTTGAGATGGCACCAGCAAGCCAGGGTAATGACTGAGGAGTAAGATTAAAGTCCTACGCAGTGGATATCTATTATTTTGCCTATCCAGTTCCTATTTTCTAACATTCGTGGTYTGGGCTTAAGGGGTGGGTCTGGAACAGTGCATCTGGTACCCCCTGGAGGGACAGGCATCTGTCTGTGGACATGGGGCTGACTCTCAGTTCATGGGAGGTGTGAGTCTGGTGTATTGGGTCTGTGGGTGTTCTGGGTGGCCATGGTTGGTTGACTCAAGGCTTCCACTAAGCAAGAATTGGCAAACTGAGCATGCAGAGGCTTTGACGGTGCACACTTCCTTACCAAGGGAAGACGGCATTGTTCTGAGCACTAATAGGAACAACAATAATACATTGAGGTATGAGTCCTCAGCTTTTATGGACTTCAGATGTGGCCTTGCATCTTAGGGACAGAGAGAGCTTAGAACTTAGAGCCTGACAGGGCAGCTGGACAATAAGCAGAAGACTCACCAGCACTTCCATTCTTTCATTCACTCTCCCTGGTCACCTCCTGAACCTAGGCCAACTAGCAGGCAAGGAGCCAGGAAGAAGGAGCATGAGGCATGCTGTGGCCAGGAAAGCACCTGGAGAGGTAGCAGGAAGTGTTGAAGATGAGGGGGCAGGAAGGTGAGCCCTGGCTAAATCTTGAGTAGTTGGGCAGATGGATGGGTAGGGGGTGAATTCCTAAGCTGCCCCCCTCCTCCCCAACTCCTCTGAGCCTCATTGTGGTCTTGTCCCCTCACACCTCTCACCTGTGGGGGCCTCCATCAGGGTTTCCCTCTCCTTGGACAGGCTTTTGGAGATCAGGCTTGGCAGCACCTTGCAGAACAACAGGAAAGGGAACGATTCTTGCCTGGGTAAAAGAAGAAAAGAAACAGAATGATAGGGAGAGCTAGGTACAGCAGAGGGTAAGCTGAGGTCAGAGAAGAGACTGGGAAGGGGACCTGGGGGTTCCCCGGGGCAGCCCCACTCCCATCACTGGCCCTCCAGAGGGTCAAGACCAAATGGTCACTGCAGCCGGCGGTGGCTTTTTGCTGCAGTGAGTGCACCCAGAAGGTTGGTCAGCCCCTGGGAGTCTAGAGAAATTTCCATGGGTCCTAATATTTTCTTAGTAATTATAAAAACTTGAACATAAAACTTTAAAACAAGAAAAGGTTATGGCATGGTGCAGCTGGGGCTGAGGACTGGCTTCTCCAAGCCCCATGCTGCAGCAAGGCGAGCGGATCCAACTGCGTCCGGAAGCGGGGGCTGCCAGAACAGGGGGACCCTGGCAACTGCCAGGACGCGCACCACCGCCCAGCAGCCGGCCCGCCCCGCCCGCAGCCGGAAGTGCCACCCACTGGCCCCGCCCCCGGGCACTTCCGGGGCGCTCTGGGCGCGGGAGGACTGCTGCTCTGTGCCCAGCCCAGCCCAGCCGCCACCTTCCCAACCTCAGGCTCCGGCCCTCGGCCGGAGCTGGGGCTCTCGGGTCGCCCGAGTCCAGCAGGGAGCTCTGGGGGCAGCGGCCCGGCCGGCGCCCGCCCTGTCGCTCCTGGCTCCCACGCCCCACCGGGCAGCGGGCGCTCTGGCCACGGTCCTGGGCGTCCGGCCCTGCCATCCCCGGGAGCAGAGGAAGGCGGGGGAGCTGACCCAGCGACCGAAGGCGAGGTCGGACCCCGGCGGGAGGGGACAGTGCCACACTGGGCGTGGCACAAAGGCTGACCTGGAGCCGGGCTTCTCCAGGCGCCCGCCACTGCTCCGTAGCCGGACTTGGCAGCCGACTGCCCGGTGGTCTGCGAGAGGCCCTCCGGAAGCACCACGGGGCAGGGGTGGCCGCACGCGCACCGCTGGGCAGGGTGAGGGGGGAATCTGTAAGGAAAGAAAGGCGCATTTTCCACGTGACGCAAACCGGTGATTTCCTTCTTCTACTCTATATTTTCCAGTTTCTCTGAAGTACACTCTACTTATTGAATAAGAAAATAAGGTGTTTTATCAACAATGACATTTTTTAGAGAATTTTAACATTTTTTWATTTTTATTATTTTTTTGTATTTTTCGGCGGACACAACATCTTTGTTTGTATGCGGTGCTGAGGATGGAACCCAGGCCGCACGCATGCCAGGCGAGCACACTATCGCTTGAGCCACATCCCCAGCCCCTCAAAAATGACCTCTTGATAAACAAGTAAAATATGACATGTATAAGCTTGAAAAAAAATGAGGGGATGCAGAGTGTGGTGGTGCACACCTGTGATCCTAGATTTTCAGGGCACGGAGGCAGGAAACTCTCAAAATAAAAAGGAGCTAGAGGGGATGACGATCCCAGCTACTTGTGTGCCTGTGGCAGGAGGATTACAAGCATAACGTCACTTGGGCGGCTTAGGGAGATCCTGCCTCAAAATAAATTTTAAAAAAGGTCAGGGTGTAGCTCAGAGGTAGAACACTTGCTTCACATATTTGAGGGTTCACTCCTCAGTGTCACATAAAGCAAACGAACAAACAATGAATTCTTTAAAAGAAATAATATAGGGAAAAGCTGTTTCATGTCTAAGTCCCAGCAGAGTATGTTCTTGGACCAGTGGACAGTGGACACAATGGCTAGGCCTGCACACCAAGATGCTGAGAGGATTTTCTTCAAATGCACCTACTTTACCGTCATGCAGATGTGTTACTGACATTTGTTCCTGAAGATGGCACAAGGCAGATTCAGCCATGGGATCTGCATTGGATTTTCCTTCCCAACAGTTCAGAGATGCATCTGGGGCCCATTACTGGTTCTGCTGAGGCTCCTTCTTCACACCACCTGACAGCAGCCTTCCCTCCTGTCTGGGATGGAGACAGCTACCTTTTCCCACCAGATTTTTCTGGAATTCTTCCCCTGCCTGTTCATCCAAGATGGGCCTTCTGCCAGCTGTCTCCAGAGACTGGGAGAGAGGTCTCCACCCTCTGCAGCTCTGGGCTGAGATGGTGTCAGGCCTGCAGCAGCTGGGGACCAAGGCCAGTCAGTCTTAAGAGAGACCAGGTGGCATGAAGGCTCTGGTCCCAACCTGAGCACTCCTCCTCAGATCCCATGTGCTCCCAGGTCAGAGGAGCACTCTGACACTTGACCTTTGTTTGGTGGGTCCACTTGACTCCAAGAGTTCCGGCTGAGAACACTCAGAGCTGGCAAGTCCCTGGAGAGGGGCTGCAGGGGTGCCAGGCAGGACTTGTGTGTGCACAGGGAGCCACGTTTGCTGATTGGTTTGTCTCCAACACGCCACGTGTGCTCTCTCCCTCCACTAATTTAGACTTCAGGGGACGACCCAGGCAGGCCGGCCACTCGTGTTGGCTTCCGGTCACCATTCTCTTCCACGGTCCCTAGCCACGACAGCCAGCCTTTRATTCAGTAACCCCGAGAGTCTGTTTTATAGATGAGCATTTTGAGAGGAAGGACTGGCGTCTAGGAAATGGGGGACCCCCCTGCTCCGCCAGGCTTTGCTGTGCTAAGAGTAGTAGCCAGAAACTCCAGAGGCCCACTTCTCATCCCATCTCAGGATCAGCCTTTTGGTGAAGGCCAGATAGTAGGCACTGTGTCTTGGACGTCATTCCAGGACCCAGTCTGACAGAATAGTTTAACCCCTTAGGATATCCCTAGTCAATGTGGAGAAGCCACAGGGGCTCTTCCTGTGTCCCCAGCACAATGAGTTCAGCAAAAATCAGACAGTGGGAATCTGCTGCAAGCTGGGAGAGATGGCAGGAAGAATGTGATGAAGAGGCCTTTGGCTGCCACTTTGCCCATGGTGGTCAAGCAGGCCACTCATTGCCAGGATCCTTTCCTTTTCTGATGCATTCATAGCTTCTGAATGCGGAGTTGGAGAATGCAGACCACAGGCCTAGGACCACAGMAGGGGCAAAGAGTGGCCATGGGTAGGTAGGATACCTGCCCTGCTACAGTGCCCCTGGGCACTTATCCCCAGTGCAGAAGCCTGGGTCAGCCCCAGCAAGCTCCCTTAGGCACCTGCAGCCTGCTGCCCTGGAACTGGGCTCTTGCACCTGTCTCCTGCCATCCCTCACCATTGTGTGCTTGCGGCTTTCTCATTACTGCATCAATAAAAACATCTGTGACGCATACCCACCATATGCTGCATATTTATTTGAAAAAAAATTACGCAGTGTTGCAAAACACATATAAAACCAAAACAACTAAAGGGGATGACCTATAAAGTATAAAAGCCCTTCCCCCCATCCCCATGGAACATTCTGTATTGGGGAGATGTCCTCCCCCCAGTTATTGATGTTTCCTGTTTGATCTTGATTTGTGGCTCAGGTGAGCTGCGCACCACCCACTGGACAGAGTTCAAGCCCTTTTCCCTGGGCAGGAGTCTCCTCTTTCCTGCTCATCCCTCTCCTGTCCCTCCCRCCATGCCCCGCACCTGGCTCCTTTGCAAATTCCATCTCTCCTTGACCAAGCAGTGTGACTCTGAACCCTGCGGGCCAAGGCCTTTCCTCTCTCCCCATCTGCTGGGAAGGGGCAAGGAACCCCCTGGGCCTGGCTTCGGGCTGGCCCAGTAGGTTCTCGCCATTCTTGTGAAGGGTCGGAGTGGGAGGTGAAGGCCTGGACATAAAGCCCAGACAATTAAATGGTGTAAAAGCATGGTTCACCTGAAGCCGGTCCAAAGTCAGGCCGCGTCGCCTCTGGCCCAGCTCCTGACCTGGTCTCCGGCATTGTCAAAAGCCATCTCAGGAGGGCAATTCCTGCGCAGGTGTCAGGCGCTGTGCGGGTCCCCTGCCACCCCGCGTCCGACCGCCGCTGCCCCGCGCCACCGGCCAGCCTCGGGTTCTCTCCGCGGGCGGCGGGCCGGGCGCACTCCGCGCCGTGCACCCGCCGGTGCTGGATCAGATGGAAGCTGAGGCGGAAGGCGCTGCCCACTCGGAGCAGCGGAACGGCCTCTCGCCCGCGTGCACGGTCTGGTGCCGGAAGAAGCCGACGGCGCCCGGAAGGCGCGGCCGCACTGGCCGCACTCGTGGGGCTTCTCGCCCGTGTGGATGCGGCGGTGCTCGCTGAGGAAGGAGGCGCGGCTGAGGGCGCGGCCGCGGTCTGGGCACGCCTAGGGCCGCTCGCCCGTRGGACCCTGCGGTGCTGGAGCTTGGCTGAAGGCCTGGCCGCGCTCGGGCACGCGAAGGGCTTCCCGCCGGCGTGGAAGCGCAGGTGCCGCGAAGTGCGAGCTGTGCGCGAAGGCGCGGCCGCAGTGGCCGACGCGTTCGGCTTCTCCCCGAGAGACGAGACGCGCTGGTGCTGGGCGGCGCCCGCCCTCCCGCGGCGGAAGGCCCCTCGCACTCGCCGCACGCGTGCGCCCTGGCCCCAGGCGCGGCGGGGAGGCCTCGGCCGGGCGCGGGCTGGGCTGGGCTTTCCCCCGCGGGCGCCCCGGGGCGCTGCCCGCTCCAGGCCTCCCTGCTCTGCGCTCCTTGGTCCTCACGGTCTGAAACCAGAAAGGGACAGGGCGGTGTCACCGGATTCTGGTCGTGCCCGGGCCATGGGGGGCAAGAGCGTCCGTTTTCGTGAGAGGCAGGGAGAAGGGAAATTAGGAGCTTTGTCCTGGACGCGGGGGGTGGGGACGCGGACGGGGCTGTGGGGAGCTGTCGGAGTCCAGCTCGGGCAGGGGGTCTCAGGAGAGGAACGGATGGCTAGGAGTCATCCGGATGGCGAGAGATGGCGAAAGGCGGGGAGAACCAACATAGACACAGAGTGAAGGTGCCGAATCCCCATCTCTACTTGGGAAGTTGATCATACATACTTGTCATTTTGGCAGGCTCACAGTACTTTGTGGTTACAAAACAGGAATCATTACTCAAAGAAACAAAAATATTAGGTAGCTACAATTAAAATAGAAGAATGTATCCTGGCTTATGCATAAGCAAGCATTTTTACTTTCAGTTTGCGTTTTGCTTTGAGCTGTTTCTGCTTAGTTAACTTTTAATAATAGTTAGAAATGTCCTAGACTATTGGCCTATACCTTGATTATTCTTTCTTGACTTACTGACTGGAACAGCCACGGTTATGGCAAGTGGTTAGCTTGAAAAGAGAGGCTACTGATTTTAATCAAACAAGAGTAAGAGCATCAAACCATTGTGCACAGGAACAAGAACAAGTTGCCCAGTACCAAGCACTAATCTGTCTTCTTAATATTAATTTTTCTTCTCTAGATTTTAATTTAATTTCTCAAAAACTTCCTTGACTGTTTTTCCTACAGGGGGTTTCTCATTAAACATTAACAATTTACAGTTCCACAGATGAATCATTTAGAGCAAACAGGTTCATTCTTTAGAAGTATTTGCATTAATTGGGAAAGTCACGTTTTTTCCTTCATACTTAATGGTCATATGAGAAGTCGCAACTATACTTATTAMAGGAATACAGAAACAAACCAGCCCATTCCCAGAAACATACTGCGCTCCTCCAGAGGATGGACGCCTGGCACCATCCACCTCAGTAGGGCCTTGCCACTGCCTGAGTCAGGGGAGAGGTGCAGCAGGGAGCGGTGGCGGGACTTGTGGGTATTGGAAAGGGCCTGAGCCCTGCACCTCCAAATGCAGACCGCAGGCCTAAGTCACCGAAGCTTAGCACTCCTTAAAGGTGCCAGGGCTGAAAAGCTCAGTGGGTTCCTGCTCCCTGGCCTAAAGGCAGGCCATAGGACCAAAGGAGAGGTGACTGCCAGGCGCAGGCGGGGCACAGGACCTCACGGAGTCAGCAGGGGACAGGCTGTCTGCTCCCAGGACTGTCCAAGGACCTCTCTGTGGGCCTGTCTGCCCACCACTGTGCTTGTCACCAGCAAGCATTCTGCCCCAGCTCCCTGCGGAGCGGCCTCTGTGTCTCATCTGGGTAGGGAAACACAGATCCAGGCAGCTGTGCGACCTGCCCCTGTCCTCACTGAGCTGCTGTGGCACAGTGCGTTCCTAATTTCTAGAACCTTCTTGTTTCTTCCTAAAAATAAGTCACAGAAGAGAAAGAGCAGAGGGCATGGTGATGTGGTCCTGCTCTCTGCTAAGTCTGGGCTGGAGTTGGCTGGACACAGCGCTGCCTGGGCAGCCTCTGAGGAGAGGTGGAGAATGTCCCACAGGCCTAGTGTGACCCAGGAGGGTGGTCTGTGGGCTGGAGAGGTGAGGAAAGAGGGACACTGCATTTTAAAGAAGACACGGGGCCACAGCTTAGGGAAGACCTGGCTCCTGTAAGGGACATGGCAGAACTGGCAAAGGGCAACCGGCTCTCCTGCCAGGACAGGCTGCCTATGAGAACCCAAAGGAAAGCCTGAATCTGCACCAAACCACACTGCCCRTCTGCCGGCAGACGACGCCCCGCCTAAGGCCCGAGTTGGAGCTGGGAGTTACCAGAYGTGAATTACAAGACTGAGTCCCCCTGCCCCCCCCCCCCCAGCACACAGGTGGACTTCTGTCCCCACCTGCCTCCGCCCAGGCCATGGGGAACTATGTGACTCTTGGGAGTCAGTGCTTTTCACCTCAGCTGCCTGGGGCCAGCATGCTGTACCGCATTAGAGTGGGTAAGGAGGTATGTGACAAAGTCACCAACTGCTGGACACTCTGAAAGTGGCCCACAAGCAGCCAGGCTCTCTGGAGCATCCTGCTGACTTTGAAACCTCCGCTAACACCAGATGCACTGGAATGCATGAAGCACCCCTGGGCAATGCCTGGGGCGTAACTGGCCAAACCTGCTTCCCATGCTGGGGACACACTTAGGAWCAGCTCTCCCATTTGGGATAAAAGGTCTCTCCCAAGGAGCATGGATGGGCATTCCAGGACCCTGAAGGGGAGCCTGGAGGACCCTGCTCACACCRCTGCCCCTGTGACCCCATCCAGGCATCCTCCCTGGAAACACGCCATCCACTCCCAGTCACAGCAAACTGAGGGAGGACAGGGTGGCAGTGGGAGTGCAGTGTGGGCTCCAGAGTCCAGTCCTGGGCTCAGCACACAGCTGTGTGTAGGGCCTCACTGGGCCTCATCCCCCTGGAGCGCCTCACAAGGGCTCCAGGACAGATCCTGGCAAATCTGAGACCTCAGGTCAGGAAGGTTATTTTAGGGATGAGTTAAGCATTGAGTTCCTTTTAAAACCAAGAACTGATTGAAAATATAGGCAAACACTTCTTCATAATTACTGACAGGAAGGAAAAACGTTTCCTGGCTTCCATTATTCTTTTTCTTTCTTTTCTTTTTACATTTTCTAAAATCTCTTTAAAGACCATAAACAAATGCTTTGGGGAAAAAGAAATTTGTTAAAAACGTGCTTTTTAAGRATGTGACTTCAACTTTCCTCCCTGAGGTCTGCGGTGTGGTGGGGTACCTCCCACCCACCCAGTAGGGCAGCAGGCAAGGGCGGGCTGTTGGCAGAGCCCATGGAGGCTGCTGGCTGAGTGAGGGGAGGCAGCAGGGTTGGCGCTCGAGCCTGAGGGACGAAGAAGGGGGCTGGAGAGGTAAGTACCGTGTTCTGGGATGCTGGCTGCCTGACGGAGTCTGGCCGGTCCCCCTGGGCAGGTGAGGCGGGAGACAAGGTTAGAGCCGGTGCCAGAGCCCATTGGCTGGGATGTACACTTCCCGGTCCTGCGGGTCTCAGAAGGCACCCCCCGGGCTGTGCTTAGAGCCCAGGTGCGCTCCGAAGGGACACAGGACTGCGCAGGAGGCAGGCAGCGSCTAGCTGCCTGGCCGACAGACTGTGTCCAGGCAAGGTCCAGGAGGGTGGGTCTCTTCCGGCGGCAACAGCAGGAGCATCCCTTTCGCCCCGACTGGTGTGCAGGAGAAGGCGACAGGGGCAGACGCTCGGCGATCCCGGTGGGCTGCACGGAGAAGGCGCTGTCCCGACATTCCAGGACGCGCCTTCGCGGAGCTTTCCCCACCACTCCTCCAGCCTCCCTCCTTTCACGGTGGCCACCAAGTGTCGCTGGCCAAACGGTACCGGCCTCGTTCAAGGCGCGCCTGCGGAACGGGTCCCTGGCTTGATGCGGGGGACACGCCCCACGCTCACAGCTCCAGCTGGCCGCCGCGCGMGGGGCGGACCGGGACCAGAGGGGCCCCGGAGGAAGCGCGGCCGGCCGGCTCGGGGGCAGGGGGGGTGCTCCGTGGCCCCGGAGGCCCAAGTTCCAGCGCGCGGAACGCGCACCGCCGAGACGGAAGCGCGGCCAGCAGGCCCCGCCCCACGCCGCAGGCACTCCCGAGGGCTGGCTCCCAAGCCCAGCCGGGGACCGCGGCTGCTCGCCCGGCGCTGTCCGAGGTGCTGGGGGATGCGGCGGTGGGGCACAGACGGGGCAAGCAAGGGGACCTAGAGGCCATAAGGGCTTGCGGGAAGTGGGGGGCGTAGGTGGGAAGAAAAAGGGAATCCAACTCTGGGTTGAAGCTGTGGTCCAGGAGAGAGGGGGTGCTGGCCAGGACTGGGGTGGGAACGTGAGCGTCCAGCAATGAACCCAGTCTAGCCACAGTCGGACCAGCTGCAGGAGCGGAGTCTTAGAAAGGAACCGCGGGGGCAAAGATGGATTGCCTTCCACAAAATGGGTCAGACAAGAGCCACTCAGGTGTCTGCCAGCATAGACACGCTCCCAAGTGAGGAAACCTTGGTAGAGGTCCACAGCTAAACACAAGGCTACCTACCAGATGAAGRAAGTATCCCGTGAGGGGCACAGGGTCAACACCAGGATCTGGCCTCCTCTATCCCCTTGAAGGGCAGGGTTGCTAACTGCTTTGCGACTGAAGTCCCAACTTACCCAAGGGCTCTCAAAACACTGAAAACCCGACTTCATCATATTACTAACCAGGAAACAGGTTCAGAGAAATTGATCTCATTTTACACAGATAAGAGTAGAGCTGTCCTTTAAGTTCCACAGTTGATTTTCTTATCCATTGCACCATACAGGTATGTTTRTGTAAAAATAAAACCCTTGTGTCCAACAGCAGTCTCCAAACCCAGGATTGACCCTTTTTGCCACAGCCACGTGCAGCCTGGGTAGATTCAGCTTGACTACAGCCATCTTGAGTCTACCCCCACAATTGCCCCCGAGTAACCCTAACTGGTTTTTCCTGCATAGTTCCCCAGCAAACTGTAATAGACAAACCACAGAATCATACTGTTAGCGCTGGGCTGGTACACTTAGGGACAAACACCTAGGCTTCCTGGAGGAAGGGAGAAGCCGCTCCTTAAGTGACTTAATGCTCCATCAGARGTGTTTTGTTTCAGACCAAACTCTCCAGAGCAACTTACAAGGAACCAGTGCAAGCTGCTGATCACGGAGTCTAGGTGACCTGGAGTGAACTTTGCTCGTTGTGATACTGAATTCTCTGCCCAGAGGCATCGCCAGCTGGTTTTTTTTTTTTTTTTTTTAAGGCTGTGCTGTGACCTCAAACTGAGCATTCCCAGCAGTGTGCCCACCTCTACAAGTGATGAGTCTCCTAGGGAAATATGCTCATTTCCCCAATAAAAGTCCATTGCTTTGTTTTTTGGGGGGGACACACTGCTTTGAGAATTATCTCCAGTGTTCTCCTGACTTCAAGTAATATGCCTCTCTACTCTTCCTCCTGGTGGTGCTTACTGGTTTTGCACTCACCAACTAGCAAACAATGCACAAGGTTAGACCCAGACTCCAGGGATGTACCCACTCTTTCATATTAAGATAAACCAGGTACAATTTAGCCAGGATGAGGTTACTTTGGTCCTGATTCATATATATGCCCCTTTCTGATCCAAATTTTGAGAATGCTATTGATCTTATCACAACTTCGCTTTTGTCAGCAAGTTCCACAATAAAATGCAGCGTGACCCTGGATATATCTGCYTCTTGTCTCACGGCACCCTGGAGCAGATCCTCATACTCTAAAACCAAGTGGTTCCATCTAGGATTCATCAGCTCACAGCCCTCCCTCCCCTTGCCTGCAATCCCTGGAAACTGCCTCACAAAATCCTTTCTGGCAGCTCCAGGACCTGATGGCTCAAGTGTCCCTCTAGGGTCCCTTTCTCTGGGACCAAATGCAGACGCTGTGCTCACAGAAATGGTCACTTCTGCAGTTTGGAAACAGCCACTGCAGGAGCCCTTCACAGGCTGGCCCAGACAAGATACCTCCTGCAGGGCAGGAATAACTGAGGGGAGATGGTGCCCAGGTCCCTCTGGGGCACAGGAGATAAGAGAAGTGCCCCAACCAAGTGAATGCTGATGGGGATGGGCAAGGGTAAGTAGAACGGTCCTGAGGAGCCATGCCTGACCCCGTCCACTCTGAATTTCCTGGAAACATTGGGTGGAGATCAGGTGGAACATCTGGGAATCTGCTGACTGCCAGGGCTTGGAGGAAAAAGTGTACCACGGGAGATGCAAATTCCACTTCAGCTCATCTTGGTGGTCCTGCCCAGCAAGGGACAACGGTGACTTTGCCTCAGCAAGGGTTTAGACCCAGCACAGAAGAGCTGCCCTGCCAGCCACTAGCACCCACAGCTAGTTCTGGGGCACCTGGCCCTGCCCCACACAGTGCCTGAAGGCCACTTCCAGGAGGCTGGGAGCCCTGGAGCACCATAGGACCTCCCCTAGATGCTGCTGGGTTCCACTGCTGCCAATGGAGCCCCTCCTTGGTGATGAGGCTGCTGGGCTGCCTGCAGAGTCTCGMGCTGCCCACATATCCCCGAGGGGCGGGGGAGGCAGGCAACAGCCTAACCTCTAGCTCTCACCTCTTGATTGGCTCTCAGTTGGCATGGGGACACAGGGTGGGGGTAAACAGCACTTGGTGGCCACAGGTGCCTTCCTCAAGGGGCTGCAGAGGGCTGTGGTGACCCATCAGGAGACTTGAGGTTGGTCACTGCTTGTGACATGCAGGAAGCCATGTGTCCCCTGGGAAACAGGCTGGCCAAGGGCTGATGACAGCCACAAAGCACACCACCAGTGCAGCAGGGCAGTGCCTCCCAGCCACCACGGGGACCTGCCAGCAGGAACCCTTGGCAAGCCCAGCAGTGGGGAGGGCCAGGGAGGTCACACTTGGGCACTGCCATCTTGGAGGAGTCTGCTGTCCCTCAGCTGCTCTGGAGGGAACAGCTGGGCGGGAAAGGTGCCCGGAACCCTGGCTGCTTGGAGCCTGCCCTCTCCACCGGGCTCTGCCCTTCCCTCCACAGGACTCTCTGGGAAGATCTTCAGAAGACAAAAGCCTGACCCCTCTGCACACCTGTCCAGCCCCGACGACTCAAGGTCCCCACCTTCTCAGAGCAGGAGCATGGGAGGCCAGACAGGGAGAACACAGGTCGGGGAGGTCCTCTYGTGGAAGCCTGCTGACCTTGCAAGCCCTCAATGGAAGAGCCAGGAGGAGACAACGAGCAGGTCTGAGGGCTGTGCAGGGAGAACACGCCATGAGGAGACCCAGCTGCTGCAGACCCTATGCCCAGGGTCGACAGGAAGCCTGGGCAGCCACAGGCTGCTGGAGGAAGGCAGGAGCCTGGAAGGCAGCCCCCCGTCCGCCCGCCTGCTCCCACTGGTCCCACCCGGTGCTGGGCAGGTCTGACGGCTCCATGGCAAGGCTCTGGAAGGGTCAGGTCAGCTCCTGGCCTCAGGCCCTCCCCCTGTGGTGGCCCTCAGGTTGGGAAGCAGCCCACCTCGCCCAGCAGAAGCCAGCTCCTGTTTCCACACACAGGATTTATTGCAGGCCAGGCTTGGCTACTCGCGGTAGTGCACCCTCTGGTGCTGGATGAGCTGGGAGCTCTGGCCGAAGGCCTTGCCGCAGGCACCACATGCAAAAGGCTTCTCGCCGGTGTGGGTCCGTAGGTGCCTGAAGAAGTGCGAGCGGCCGCGGAAGGCCTTGCCGCAGTCGGCGCACTCGTAGGGCTTCTCGCCCGTGTGGATGCGCTGGTGCTCAATGAGCACGGAGCTCCAGATGAAGGCCTTGCCACACTGGCTGCAGGCGTAGGGCCTCTCGCCCGTGTGCAGCCGCTGGTGGCGCACCAGGTTGGAGCTCTGGCTGAAGGCCTGGCCACACTCGCGGCACTTGTAGGGCTTCTCGCCRTTGTGGATGCGCAAGTGCTGCGTAAAGTGTGAGCTGTGGCTGAAGGCGCGGCCGCACTGGCCACACTCATAGGGCTTCTCCCCGGTGTGGATGCGGTGGTGCTGGATGAAGCCAGACCAGCCACGGAAGCGCTTGCCGCACTCGTGGCAGGCATAGGGCTTCTCACCTGTGTGGATGCGCTGGTGCTTCAGCAGCAGCGAGTTGTACTTGAAGCTCTTGCCACAGGCTTCGCAGCGGTGCGGCTTGGTGCCGCGTGCACTGGCCTGTGGTGGACTGGGACCCAAGCTGCACCCCAGCTCTGGAGCCTGTTCAGGGCTGCCCTCGGTCTCTGAAGCTCCCTGCGGCAGGAGTGCCAGGCACCAGGCACTCCTCCTCAGGGTGCAGGGCATGGGCCCTGGAGGCTGGTCTGCTGGCCGCTCCAGGCTGGACTCCTGCCCAAAGCTGTCCCCACACTTGGGCCTATGGGGAAAGTTCCTCAGGAGGCCCCTCAGTGCCCCTCTCTCTGAGTCCACCCTGTCTTCAGAAACATGCTGGTGGGGAGATGATGGAGCCTGCCCAGGCTCTGCCTCTGAGTCTGAAAGGAGAAACGGCAGACAGATGGTACCCAGCTCCAGCCCCACTGCGGCATTCTAGGGTCTGGGACCAAGTAAGAGCAGAATCTGGCGGGGCAAGCCTGACTTGGGACTGGTGAGGTGGAAGGAGGCACCGAACAGTGGCCAAGGTGTTCGCCCCAAACAGCTGAGATAAAACATAAGGTGGGGGGCAGCTGGGCTCTGTCAGACGGTGACCTGAGCATGTGTACGGGGCCTTGGCTGGCTAAGAGGACACAGTGGTTAACGAGACCTGCATGTCTACTCTGAGCTGGGAGGACGTGGCCCCAGGGTTGACATTAAGGACTGGCAAGGATCTGGAACTTGGAGAACTCTCAAAACTGATCCTTTGGGCTCAAGTACTGAGGGACAAGGAACAAGCCTCTCTTGAAGCCTGCCCTGCCAGACRGGCAAGATCCAATGAGCTCATACCTGCTCAGAGAGCTCCATGGGGTGGCGGTGGCCTCAGTGACAACTGTACTGTAGCCCCACTCCCTGGCGGCAGCCGCCAGCCACAGCAGTGGGAGTACCCAGAGCCTGGTGCTCAGGAGCTCCAGGGCAATGGGAGACGCGCTCCGAGTGCCGGGCAGGGTGGGCGGTGGTCCTCACTCACCAAGCCAGGTGTCTCTGCCGACCTCCACTTCCTCTAGGTCTTGGAGATCCAGTTCTGATGGCTGGGAGAGCACCTCAGGGTTGGAGCTGGGAGAGCCTAGGGGTTGGGGGCTATGGCTCAGGCCCCACCCTCCAGAGTGCTGCCTCCCTGGAATCAGCCCCACTTGCCCAGGCCACCTACAGGATGCCACGTGACCTGGGCCAAGCCCTTAACTCACAGCACCACCTCCTCCACAGCCACGTATACACCTCCCCAGCATCTCCCCATCACCTCTACAAGAGAGGGCAGCTTGACCGTGCCACTGCCGGGAGCCTCCCCAGCCAGGAGTACCCTTTCTCCTCCTCCCCAGCTTGGTCAAGAGCTGCCCTAGGAAGCCCTCCTGAGAACCTGGCTTTGGGACTTACCCTCCCTTGCTCTGTAAGCAGACAAAAGCTGGGCAGTCTCTGGCCTGGCCTCCTTCCCATGCACCCATCAGAAGGCCCCACTGCCCTCCAATGCCCCTATATTGATACCACACAGACCCTGAGGAGCTGTGTCAGACCCTCAGCACCCCAAACTGGCCATGGCTCCTGACCTATGTCTCTATAGGAACACGGAGGTCCTGGGAGAAGAACAACTATGTCCTACACCTGCTTCCTAGCCTGCGCTAAGAGGCTGGACCAGCCAGGAGGTGGTCTCAGCTTCGGACACAGATCTCAGCCTGCTGCCCACAGGGACAGCTGAGCACCCTGCTTAACGAGCCCCCTGCATCCTTCATTTCCTCTGAGGAGGAAGGAGCCAGCTCCTCCTGCAGGACACCAAGTGCCCAGTATGAGCCCAGCCAGAGAGTCTCCAGGAGTGACTGGGTATAGGGTGGGCTCTGACGATCACTGGGACTCAGGGCTCCTGGGTGGGCTTCCTTTGGCTCATCTCAGACTCTGACCTGGAAGCTGGAAGGATTGGCTCTAAGAAGTTCTGGCTCGAATTCCAACTGGCAGGGGAACCCTGGGCAGGTTCTGGAAACACTGGGGTCTGTCAGGGATCTGTGGGCCTTGGAGCACTCCTATGAAACCAGATAGCAAAGGGGCTCAGCTCTGGGCTCTGAGATGCAGACCCTGGGGCACAGGCCAGGGGCCCTTGAAAGTCCAGAAACCACTGGAGAGGAGAAAGAGATGGTGAGATGGTGGTAGGGGTGGCCCCACAAGGCTCGGCACAGAATGAGTCTGAGGTCCTTCCAGACATTCCACCTAGTTCTCGGGAACCACTGCAAGGTGCTCCAAAGAAGCTCTTTCCCAGCAATCTCCTGGGGATGGGCAGGGGCAAAAGGTCCTGCCGTCAGGCAGCAGACAGCAGAGCTCACGACTCCCATTTTGGCCTGTGCTGCACCATGTGATTTCCTGGCTATTTGTGTCCTCTCTGTCCTTATCTGTGAGTGTGCATGTGAAAGGCTGTGGCTGGGCTTTGAAAAGCTCATCCTAGACCCGGTATAGCAGTCACGCTCCACAAGCCTCAGCGTCACTATGCCAGTAGACAGACTAACAAGAACAGCCGAGACTGAGAACCTTGGGCACCAGGAAGGCTGTTTTCCTGGACCTTTCACCAGCTCCTAAACATAGGTGCAGGCTGCCAGGACATACCTTACGAGGGACCTTGTCTTTACTGTCAATGGCTCAGGCTCTTAGGAGCACTGAGCCTGGCTATCCAACACAGAGAGGAAGCCTCAGGACACCATGACCCAAGAGCCAGGTGTGCCAGGGGCACAGTGTGCCCTGCCTGCTCCTTACTTGTGACCAGTAAAGACACACACTGTGGGTAAAACCAAGGCCAATGGCTCCATCCCTGCAGGTCCCACAGGTTCCATACCCAAAGCAGCCTAGCAACAACTCTGGGCTCTCTTCTCCTGCTTGGGAACACAGCTTCAGACAGGGCTGGGGGTGCTGGCTCACTCCTGCTCACACCAGGCCCAGATTCTGAGGCTATTCTTTCTACACCAGGGAAGAAATGGTCCCAGGGGCTTTTTCCTAGGAAGCCAGACATGGGTTTGGTCTCCTCCCACGGCTGAGTCCTGACCTAGCGCTGCCCCTCAGGCCCCTGCCTCCCAGAAGCTGCACAACTGTCTGCTGCTGCCTCTCAGCAGCTGGGTTGCTGGGTCAGATGGGGGCTCCATGGTGTGGAGGTAGGGCAGAGGGAACACAGTGGGCCAGATGAGTACCGTGTAGACGACTGTGGAGGTGAAGCTGTGCTGTGTGGTGCCGGGCTCCAGGTGTCCCTGATGATGACAGACTGATGGGAGATGGGACAGGAAGAACTTCCTCAACAGCTCCTAGAGCCGCCATCTTCCGGAGACTTCCTGAAGGTGTGTGCACCTGGGACCTGAAGAAAATGAAAATCAAGGCAGATGAGGGTGGTGGAGAAGTCTGTGGGGAGATGGGACATCACACCAGCTCCTAAGCAGCCCCATATGATACAGTGTTCCTCATTCAGGAACACAAGGATGAAAGAGGTAAGGGCAAGTGGAGAGGTGCCCAGCTTGTGGTAGGAGGTGATTCAAGGACCTGGGATGTTTTGTTCAATGTGAAATCCTATTAGGACGCCACCTGGACAGCACCAGCAGACCTGCAGGGGCTGACCTCAAGTTCTTCAGCAAAGGATCCTGAATGTCCTTCCAACCCGAGGCTTCACCCACCATAAGAGCATGCTGACACTTCCAGGGGAACCTCCTGTACCATAGCCGGGGGCTCCTGGCCCTGGGGGGGATGAAAAGCTGAACATGCCTGCTGGGGCAGGGAGATGCTAGGTTGGGTCCCAGGAGGCTCTTCCTCCCGCCCTGCAGAGTCGGAGGCCGCAGGGGGCAACCCCCAAGTCCGGCCTGCCCGCCACACCCCGAGACTCATCTGGGGCCAAACACTGTTCCTTAACTTGGTTTGCACGAACAGCTCGCGTCCAGCGTGAGAGCGTTTTTCTTCCACACTGCGGCGCGGGAGGTCTGCAGCAACGCGCCTTCTGCCGGAACGCGCAGCCGGCGCCGAGGGCAGCGGGCGCCGAGGGCAGCGGGCGTGGCCTGCGCCGGCCCCGCCCTCCTCCCGCGCCCGACCCGGGCTGCTCCCCGCGCCGCCTCGGGGCCGCGTGCAGCGATGGCCGCGGTCACCGCGCGGGACGTCGCGGGCCGGGCAGAACCGGCGCACCGGCGCCCACTCACCTTCCGAGCGGGAGGGGGCCGCCTGCGCCGACCGGAACTGCCTCGCCGGCCGGCCCGCGCGCTTCCGGGGCGCTCTGGGCGCCGGAGGTCCGCGCCTCGGTGGCCTTCCCACCGCGGCCCCTCGACTCCCCCCGGGAGAGCAGGCGCGCACGCGGGGTGCTGGGCAGCGGGCGGCGYCGCGGGGACTGCGAGTTGCCCTGACGACTCGAGAGCAGCGCSGCAGCTCGTGAGGAGGGGCTCTTCCGTAGCGCACCGAGCCCTGCACCCAGCCCAGCACCGGCCGACTCTCCGGGAGGCCCCTGAATGCGCTGTGGCCGTGGCAGTTCCGCAGAGGACCAGCTAGGGTCCAAACCTTCCCGCCTGACACCCGGGAGGAGCTAACCGGCTCCAGGTTAGCTTCAGGAGGACTGCACCGGTGGACCCCAGCCCTCCGGGCAAGCACGGGAAGCCGCAGTGAAGTGTCGACTCGGGCGTTCTCTGCCCTGGGGGTGCTCTCTGCTGGAGCCCTTCTTAGCTTTCACTCGTAATGCATTCCTGTTGCTTGGCTTTTCGTGTCTGACTTTAGAATTTTCTTCCGACCCCAGAACTAGATTTGGAGTTCAAGCTCGACTGGGACCAGCGCCACCCACCTACAGGACAGGAATTTAAACTTCACCTTGTTCATCTTCAGGCTTTGGCTGAGATTATGTCCAATTTAGTCTCTGAAATCTTGCCTTTTGCCTTGGATTTCTCTGGGCACCATTCCTTTGTATGTCACGCCCATGCTCTGTCTGCTTGGGTCATCTTGTTGCATTTGTTCAGCTTTTCATGCAGTTGGCGACTGCAGTGGCACCTTGTTTTCCAGCTGGCACACAAGCTGATACTCTCTTGCCTCTTGTAGCATCCTTTTGAGCAAAGTCGCTGCAGAGGCAGTAAGACCATCTCCACCGTTGCGGCTTTTGTCTTATGGCATACACCTGAGCATTATCACCATCTCCCTTTTTTGTTTTTTACTTTATTATTAATTATTTGTATGTGGTGCTGAGGATCGAACCCAGGGTGAGGCGAGTGCTCTACTGCTGAGCTACAACCTCAGCCCTCACCATCTCCTTTTAGAAGGTATATCCAGAATCTGGAGGGTCATTTGTTCACCATCTCTATCTACTTACGAATCACTCATAACATTCCTGTGCTTAGCTTTTCATGTCTGACTTTAGATTTTCTTTCGCCAGCACACAGAACTGAGGTTTGGAGCTCCTGCTCCCTACTCTCCTGTGACAAGGTGGTGTCCAGGACAAGAGCTGAGAGACTGACCTGCAGCTGGGGAGGAGTCCTCCTCTAAAGAACAGGACTACCAGGGCCCTGGTGGACAGCAAGCCTGGGACAACTCAAGATCCTCATGTGGGTTCAGTTCCTGAGCAGGAGAGTGGGCTGCAGACTGATTGTCCCCCTCCTTGGTCCTGCTGAAGTCACACAGACTTCAGGACCCCTTCCTCTGGGGTCCTGACCCCAGTGGTCCTTATGAGGACCCATCGTGCCTTATGAGGCCTGTGCTGGCTCCAACTGGACACTGACTTTGGAGGTGGCAAATACTGCTGGTGGGGAGAAGGTGGAGCAGGCGACCAGGCCCCCTGGAGTGCAGTAGTGGTTGGACAGGGCAGCTGTGGTGGCTTTGAGGTTGGCCCTGCAGGCTGAGTCGGGCTCTGCCCCTGCTGTGCTCTCAGTGGGACACTAAACCTTGGCTGCCTTTCTGGCCAGTTAAATAAACCTGGAACTGGTAAAGTTTCATAATCAATGTAAATATCCAAATTGCATTATTTACTGAATAAAATGCCCTTTACTCAAAAAGAAAAAGAGCAGGAGAGATGGGTGTGGCGGCGCATGTTGGCAAATCCCAGGACTTAAAAGGCTGAAGCAGGAGAATCAAGTTCAAGGCCAGCCTGGCCAATCTGAGAACGTCAAAATAAAAAGTGCTGGGTTTGTAGCTCAGTGACAAAGCATCCTAGGTTCAACTCCCAGTACCCAAACCAAACACACACCTCAGCTGCTCTTGGCTGCTGCGTGGGCTTATGGACCATCCCTCAGCCTGCCACAGCTCCTGGGCCTGGGGCCCACTGTCCTTTGGGGTACATGTACCTCCTGTTAGCCATCTTGGGGGCTGGCCTGTATGCTGCAGGATGCTCAGTAGCATCCCTCCCCTTCACCCACCAGATCCTTCCAGTTGTTGACAAAGTTGTCCCCACATTGCCAAGTGTTCCCTGGTGACAGAATTGCCCCTTGCTGAGAACGGTAGCCCAAAATGAAGGATGTGTGAGCAAGGGCACAAGGGTCTGCATGTTATCTGGAATTCAGGGAGGGGGGCTGGGGATGACAGGGTGCCAGGGAGGAGCCCAGAACACCTCCCAGGCCTCCCTGAAGTCCTGACTGCAGGTGAGCACAACTGACCAAACTCCAACCAGCCTCCCTCCCAGCTGCCTGGAGCCAGAAAGGCAGGGTGGTGTTCTGTCTCTGGGAAGGGGCACTCCCATTACAAGGCAGTGATTAGTTTTCTCGTGTGTGTCAGGTTCTCATGAGTTTGGTTAATGGGAGCATCCTAAAGACTTTCACTGGGGGCAGTGGCCAGCTGGGGTCCCACCCTGTACTGGGGGGACCTGGGAAGGGGCATCCTCACTTTCCCTSGAGAGGAAGCCAGTGGCCTCCTCCTTGAGGGAATCTTGAGCACACCCCAAACTGCAGGAGGCACAAWGGAACACAGCAGATGGGCTGGAGGCAGACGTCCACTCCAGGAGGACACATGTCCATGAGCAGCAGGGACAGGCAGSCTCGGTGACCAGAGCTGTGGTGGCCCCGCAAGGCAGCCCTCAGGGTGGAGGGAGCCACAAACAGTTTCACCCCAAAGTTGAAGACACGTGGAGCGACTCTGGCTAGCTGGAGAGTTAAATTTTTGGACAATACACATTATAGTGGGAAAAATTGGACTAGGGAGAGTATCTGCCACAGCACAAGAGGCCAGAACATGACTGTTAACAGCAGTACATGCGTCACTAAGGTGCACAGGGTGCTGCCCCAGACAGGTCAGAAGAGTCCTATGATACTTGCCTCCAGCTGCACCAGGAGTCCTTTGTTTGTAGGAAAACAAAGAGGTGCAAACACTGAGATGAGCCCACAGGTAGCTGAGGTGAGTCTGCACAGGGCCTGGCATGGGTGCTGCTTGCAGAAGCCCAGGGACCCTTGCTGGTCCGAGGTTCTCCCTGTGCCACTTTGGCATCAGCTGGAGCTGCACCACAGACAAGCACAAGTCCTGGGGTGCAGTCAAGTTGAGGATGGCCTGCCTGTTCTCCATGAGCTGAACATGTACCTGGTGTTCAGGAGGAAGAAGGGGCCAAGTTCCAGGTATGAGGCTCTGGAAAACACAGGCCCAGAGCCGTCTGCTCTCTGCAGACTGCGGCAGTGTGTGGGCCCAGCTCCTCACCTGGAGCCTACCCCATGCTCCTGAGCACCTGGCTCTCCCCACACCCGCATCCTGCCTTCCTCCACAGTGTCTTGGTGTCTGAGCTCACTGGCACAGGAAGGAAATGAGTTTATCTTGTGCCCAAATTGGGACAGATCTGAGATACAGGGAATGGTGCCCAGGTATAACTGGGAGTCAGAAAATGCAGGCAGACAGGCCAAGGCCATGCTGCTGGCCAGCCTGCCCACCTGTGTGCCAGAGAAGGCTTCAGGGAGAGAAAAGCAGCTACCAGAACACCGGGTCTGGATTCGTGATGTCCGGTCCCTGGCAGAGCCTCTCTGTGGGTAAGGCCTAGCTGCAACCTGCAGGCCATGCTTCCCCACAGGGCCTGGCATGGGTGCTGCCTGGGAAACACCAGGTCAAGGACCCAGTGGGCAGTGTCTGCTGGACATGGTGGTTATAGTGGCACTGCCTAGGTGGGCTCCTCCAGCTCCTGAGAAGCTTCTGGCTTTTGTCGATCGTTTTCCTGTGAGGGAGCCCTGTCACATGGCTCAAGGACTGTCCCGTTTCTCCCAGGACTCTTCTCAGGTGTCCAGAGGGTTCTGAGCATGGAGTTGGTATGAAAAGCGCCCCTGCAATGGCTGGCGGCTGACAGTGAGCAAGGACTGTCCCTGGTGGGCAGCTGCCTGATGTGGCTGAGCGGTGTGCAGTATGGGCACTTGCTGCAGAGCAGTTGTGTTGACAGGGCCTCTCTGCTCGACCCTACCCGCCGCCTTTCTTACTACATGTCCCCAGAGGCCCTCTCTATTGTGCCCTCAGCGGTGTACAAGGCCTCAGCCTGGATGGCCAGAGGAGCTGCATGTGGACACTGGTCCTCTCTACTCCCCTCTGAATGCAGGAACATGGGGTCTTGCCGGTTGGTTCCAGGGTCCTTTCCTCAGGACACCTTGCTGGGACGGTCCTCTCCAGCGGCCTGGAAAGGATGAGAAATAACAGGAGTGAAGGGAAGAGGTGGAGTTCCTGCCTCGTCCCTTGGCTGGGAGAAAGCCGACTGAGCGAGCAGGGGTGCTGCCAAGGGGGAGCAGGGGTGCTAGGAGCTGGTGGAGGGGCTCAGAGGAGGCGAAGGGGGACSGGCAGCATGGGTCCAGACCGTGTGGCACTCTCGTGCAGGAAGCGCCTGCTGCTTCTAAGACTTGGGGCTGGGGTGGAATGACCTGACAGCCACCCCGCCCATTCCCAGCACCTCTAGCGCTCCTGTGCTTTGCCACTCACAGCCCCACCGCACACTCTCGGCTTCTGGATTAATTCCTCTGCCCAGGATCATCTCCCAGTGCACCCTGCAGCTGCCTTGTTGCTGTGGACGCCCCTGGGCCCATGGAAACACTTGCACGGCAGCACTAGAGACACATGGGGACTTCCAGGTTGTGACACAGCACACCATGACCACCACTGCATGCTACAACCATCTCCTTGGGCAGATGTACAAAGTTTCTCTGAGGCAATAGTAAGTGAAGTCTCTGGGTTAATGGGGTGCAGACCTTCAACTGGCAGGGAAACACCAGACTGTTCCCCAAAGTTGCTGACCTTGGGACACTCCAACAGTACAGATGACAGTTCCTTGGCTTATCTTCTTTCCTGAGTGGATGAGGAGACTCACACATTTTATTGAATCTGTTATCTCCCTGCCGTCCCATCTTGTATTCCTTATTGAGATCAAGATCTTTTCATAGACTTATGAGCTGTTCACATTTTTTTCTGTGAAATGCCTGTCTTCTGTCTGCTTTCTAATTGCTACTTGTCTTTTTCCTTAAAAAAAAAAAAAAAAAAAAAAAAAAAAGTGCCCCTGGCTTGGGAAGGTGCACCTGCTGCAGCAGCAGTCAGGGTGAGTACCTGGTGTCAGCCAGAGGCTTCAGTGGGGTCCCAACACAGCAGGTGCTTGCTTCTTGCTAACCTCGAAGGTCTGGGGACGCTCTGGGTCTAGGCCCTGCCTTTGCTTTGAGGCCCCCCGAGTCCCCACACCTGACTGCTGCCAAGCTGAGAAGCTCTGGCTGTGGCAGGGCAGGTTCCCCAGGACCCCACCTGGCCCTTCTTCAGCCGTCTTGCTGATGGGCTTTTCCACACACACTTCTGAATCACTGGGGCTCTGCATACAACCTAGCTGGAAACGTAATTAGATTGGCATTTTAAATTAATTTGAGGGAGAGATAATGTCTTTATAATTTTAGGACTGTCGGTGTTGTGATACAGCTTCCTAATTTATTTAGATCATTTACTTAAAGGACATGTAAAATTTCTACATAAGTCTCACACTTTTGTTTTTACATCTTTCCTAGGTTGCTGTAAATGATGCTGCTATCAACATTATACAGTGATGTCCATTTACACCTCTGCTGTCTCTTCTCTTTGGTCTTAATTTCAACTAACTTTTATAACATTGATCTTCTACATGACCTTACTAAAGTCTTAATAAATCCAGTAGTTCTGTGATGATTTTCAGATTTCTGTGTACACAGTGACATTACCTGTCAATCATGATGATCAGGGTTTCTTTCTTTCTTTTGCAGTACTGGGGATAGAAGCTGGGCTTCACAAATGCTAGGCAAGCACTCTGCCATCGAGCTACATTGCCAGTCCCACTCCAACAACCTTGAACCAAATCTGCCTTCCTGAAGTAAACCTGATTTGGTCATGCTACATTGTACGTTCCACTGAACTTTGCTTGCTAGGGTTTTGTTTAGGATTTCTATGTCTGTGTATGTGACACAGAAACAGAGCTGTAACTTGGATTTCAAAGTCATACCTGTCCCATAAAATAAAGGGATGTTTCCTCTAGCTCCTGTCTTCTCCCACTCAACTACGTATTTTCAGGCAGGGTCTTACTAAGGCTGGACTGGAACTCACAATCCTTCTGCCTCACCCTCCCAAGTTGCTGGAATTACACGTGTGTACCCCACTATTTCCTGTTTTTCCATCACGTATAACTGGAGTTGGGGTTTCCTGAATTGGGATTCTTTGGGGAGAATGTAAGCCACTGACCATCTCCTTGGGTGTGACGGGACTCTGCAGGGACTCCTCCACAAGTGGCTGGGTACACTGTCTTCGGAGCCTGGCTGCTTCTCCGGGCTCCTGCCTGTGTGTGGTGTATTCGGCGGTTCTCATCTCTGTGTTCTCAAATCTGAACTTGTCTCCCCTCTCACTACTTGTTTTAGTAGCTTTTTCACTGCTGTGACCCAAAGACCTCACAAGAATGATTTTGGGGACTAGGGCTGTGGCTCAGTGGTAGAGTGCTTGCCTGGCATGTGTGAGGCACTGGGTTCAATTCTCAGCACCACGCATAAATAAATGAATAAAATAAAGGTCATCAATGTCTAAAAAGTTTTTAAATTAAATAAATAAATAAAAAATAAAGGTGTTGTGTCCATCCACAACTAAAAATATAATAATTTTGGAGGAATAAGTTTATTTTGGGGCTCAGGGTTTGAAAGGTCTCAGTCTGTAGGTGGCTGACTCCACTCCATGGGGCCTGAGATAAGACAGCATGACAGTAGGAGTGTGGCTGAAGGACGCAGCTGGGAAGAGGGCACCAGGGAGCAGAGGCTCTGCTCAGTAATCCTGAGACACCCCCAGGACCCTGCCACGCCCCACCTGCCAGTGAATCTCCATCATGGATCACTGCTGGTGAGGTCACAGCCACTTCACCTTGAGGCCTGTTGGCGCTGACACACATGAGCTCTGTCAACTCATATACAGACCACGACACGACGAGYGCTTCACCTGTCCTCTCCCTCAACCACGCGGATCCTAATCGCGCTTTCACAGCCTTTCCTTCAGTCCCTGAGCCTCTCTGGCTGCATTCTCCCTTTCTGATTTTGGCTCACTGGTCCTGGCTCTTCTCCTGCCAGCACCCTGTGGCCTCTGGGCCTGAGGCCTCCGCTGTCCCAGTGGCTCTCAGGGGCACTGACTCCAGGAGCTCTGTCACTTCCACTGTTTTGGCTTTGACCTGGGCGATTAGGGATTTCTTTTCCTGGACCGAGTCAACCTGCATCATCTGGTCTTGGTGCTTGGTGTTGTCCTGGTTGCCTCAGAAAAAAGGAAATGAGCTCACTGTCTGTCTGTGCCAGAAAGATGGCAAAAGAGAACGCTGACTGATTTGGGGTTGGGTGGGTGATTTTTCTCATAACCATGAACCATAATTAAAAAAAAAAAAAATCTGCTGGGCGAGTTGGTGCAGTGCCTGTAATCCCAGAGGCTCGGGAGGCTGAGGCAGGAGGATTACGAGTTCTAAGCCAGCCTCAGCAAAAGTGAAACACTAAGGCACTCGGTGAGACCCTGCCTCTAAATAAAATACAAAATAGGGCTAGAGATGTGACTCAGTGGTCGAGTGCCCCCAAGTTCAATCCCTGGCATTCCCCCCCCCCCAATAAATAAATAAAAATCCAACTGTATTAAAAAACAAAAACAAAAAAACACCTTGTCATGTGCTCTTCTCCATGGTGATTTTTAAAAATTCTGCTCTCATTTTTTCTTGGGAGAAACATCCAGGGCACCCCTCCACACATGTGAATGAGCATTTAAGAACACAAACATGTGAGAAGACTAGTCTTTTTKTCTTTCTTTGGTGGTACCAGGGRTTGAACCTAGGGGTGCTCTACCACTGAACTACATCCCAAACCCTATTTAAATTTTTGAGATAGGGTCTCATAAGTTGCTGAGGCTAGCCTTAATCTTGTGGTCCTCCTGCCTCAACCTCCTGAGTAGCTGGTCTCACAGATGTRTGCCACTGCGCCTTGCTGAGAGTTAGCATTTGTTAACCTTCAGTATGAACCAGCCCTGTACTTAGACCTTCATGCATCAAATCACTGATTTCTGGAGACCCTCTGGGGTTGAGCACCACCAGCACCCCATTTCACACTGGAGAATGAGGCGCAAGGTGCTTGGGCAACACACTCCAGGTCCCACACTGTAGCCGAGGGCCAAACCAGTGCCTACATGCTCTCTAGCACCTCCTCCTTTCACAGAGATCACGGACACTAGGTTACAATACACCTCTTCTCTCTCAGTGAGCCGGCAAGAGTAAGAACCTACCTGTCAGCTGCTGGTGGCCAGGGCAGCCCTCTGTCCACACTGCTGCAGTGTCTTCAAGGCCCGGACCAGGGGCAGGTGCTCAGCAACATGGAACTCTGCATCTGGGACACAACCTACAGGTCCTAAGTGGAAAAAAGCACTTACTATGCCATCATTTTCTTTTGTTAGTTTTATTTTTTTCTCATGGCATTATTTATAACAATTTAAGCCCAAATCTGTGTGACCAGGCTAGGAGATGATTAAGTCAGCTTTGATTTTCTTAGTCAACAGATCATTAGGCACTCATTAAAAGTGATGTTTCCCAATAACAGCAGGGAGAAATTATTGCAAACAAAACACAAAGCAGCTGGGCATGGTGGCACATGTGTAAAATCCCACTATTACTTGGGAGGCTGAGGCAGGAGGATCACAAGTTCAAGTCCAGCCTGGGCAACTTAGCGAGATCCTATCTCAAAATAAAATAAAAAGGGCTAGGGATGTAGCTCAGTGGTAGAGCAGCCCAGGGTTCAATCCCCAGTACCAAAAGGAGGAAAATAAATAAATAAATAAACCAAATGCAGACACCAACGGGGGCACGTGAATACTCAGACTGCTGTGATGTCTATCTAGGTCACCCTCCTCCTGGCACACCAAGCATCAGAGGACACGGACTGAGCCGTTCTTGGCCACTCTCTGGCTCCCATGCATGTCCTCTACCCCAGTCTCCCAACTTCCTGGCCAACATCTAGTTCTGAAGGACTTTAAGACCTATGGAAAGTTTGCAAAGAAAAAGTCTGCCAGCTCTGCGGGTTCAGTGCCCTAACCCTGTACCACAGTGGGAAAGTGACAGCTGCTGCCTGGTCCACAGGCTCTGGCCCGCACCCAGCCTGGCTCGTTCGCCCCACACCGTCTCTGACTGGGCTGCACCACGTGATAACTGTGTGCTGCAGAGCCAGGAACGGTTGCTCTCCGGCCTTTCACAGAAGACATGTGCCAGCCTCAGACCTCGTCACTCAGAACCAACACTGGCCAATCTGCTCTGCAGCTCAATATGAACACACATGTTGTTGGCACTGGTTTTAGTTCAACATCTGAATATAAGCTGCAGACATCATGCATGATACTGAACCCTGAAAACCTCTCACCTTTAGGAACTGAGACGTGGGCTAGGAGGCAAACACTGCTTGACAACCTAGTGCCTTCAAACATCCCAGCAACGTGGGCAACTCTTCCAACTGAGGACCACATGCTACAGAAGAGTGAGCACACAAGTGTCCTATACCAACTCTGACACCTGCTTTTGTATACTTCCACTTCATCAGATCTGCACTTCTGAGACTATGGGCTTCCTCCTGGGACTGAGGTGATCCAGCCTGGGCAGGACAGCCCCTGGGAACAACTCAGAAGGAGGTCCCAGCAGGGGAGGCTCTTCACCTGAAATCCTCTGTCCCGTGGGGGTAGTACCAGCCAGCGTCCCCTGTATCACTAGGAGCTAGCTGTCCAGGTGGGCCATGGCTGCCCTGCACTCCAGGCCAAGAGCAGTGAATTGGGTGAAGCCCCAGAGAGCCTGGCCTCAGAATATTCCAGGAGTCTGTGAGGTGCTGTCTTGTGGACCAAAAAATGGTCATGCGAAAGTGACAGGCTGGGCTCCAGGACCTGCCATTATAGATTAACTGGGCCACAAGCTGAACTCCCGTGTCAGGCCTTCACTTGTTTTTGGAGTTCAGGTGAGTTATTGCTCTTCGGTGGTACTAGGGATTGAACACAGGGGTGCTCCACCACTGAGCTGCAGTCCAGCCCTTTCACCTCCGAGACAGGTCTCACTGGGTTGCCCAGGCTGGCCTCAACTTGTGATCTTCCCTCTTCGGGCTCCCGAGTAGCTGGGATCCTAGGCACATGCCCCTGTGCCCTGCTGATTGAGGTAATTTTTTTCCTAATGTCTAGGCTAGTGTGTGTGTAAAGCAAAGGGAGTGTGGTGCTAGGAACTCCGTGTGAACCTTCAGAAAACTGGCTCTGCATGGGGCAGCTGCTGGCCATACTACAGCCCCCAGCATCAATCACAGTGGGCTCCTTGGCTGGGCAGCCAGCATGCACTGCCAGGAAGCAGCAGGCTTTGTGTACACTGTGCAGTGTTCTCAAGTAGAACCGAGCACAGGGACTGGAAGTGTGTTCAGACTGGCAGGCCACTCTGCAAGGGTGGCGATGCCTGTGACACTAATGTGGCCAATCTGGCTGGGAGGCTGCCTCAGGGGACACCTGGTCATGCAGTGGCACTGAGCGTCACAGCTCCTAGGGGATTCAGAGAGTAAAAGCTGTTCACCTGGCAAAATATTTGCACTGGGAATAGGACCACTCTCAATCATCTGGGGTGGTGTCCCTTGCTTTCTGTGACTGCTTGAATGACACGGTCTTCAGCTCTGGCTGGGAAGCTCTTTTCAGGGTTGAGTCTCCACAGCACTCTATTAGGCCATTATCAGTCTTTACTCCCAGTTGAAAACATGGGTGCCAGCATTCTCCCAGTAAAAAGCTGCCCTGCTTCCTGGTTGGCACTGCTCTGCTGCCCTCCTAGAAGCCAGTCCCCAAGAGCACAGAGTCCCATCCAAATCACTCTTGGGATACGAAGGGCCAGCACAGCCACGCGGACTTACAGACTTGGGGAGAGGCAGGGAACTGGAACTAACCTGAGTGGAGGCCACCAAGGGGGCAGGGCCACCACCATGTCTGAAGGTYAATGGATGGAAGCTGCAGGTAGCACCCTGGGGGCCTAGCACAGGGCCAGGGCAGGAATCTCCCCAGGCGGCAGCACTCAGGAGCCGAGGAGCCCACGTCTGACGGGTCGGTCTGGGTAAGTCAGGTTGTCCATCTGGGGTGGCGGCTGGGTGGGAGAGCACAGGTGTGGCTCAGTTCCAGGGACAGGGGCTGAACTTGGGGCCTGGTACCCTAGTAAAGAAGCCAGAGCTGGTCACAGACCACTGCTATCCAGCTCGGGGTCCCAGGTGCCTGCTCAGTTCCTGGGACTAAACTCAGGGATCCAAGGGGCTGAGMATCCACAGATGGAGTCTTCAAGGTGTTAGTAACAGGACCAGAGTGGACTGGACACTATAGGCGGGCCACTCAGGAGCCATCAGCCTTCACCAACTACGAACGCCACTCCTGCTGGGGACRGAACACAGGGGTGTCCTCAGGTGCCCCATGGATGGCAGGTGACAGGCTGGTGTGTTCTGTGTTGAGCACTGAGCAGCACAGAGCAGCATGGAAAATGGCTGTGGCTGCAAGGAGCCCCGAGCGGCTCCCGTGCCACCACTGTAGCTTGACGCAGAAAGGCCTCTTGCCAATCACACTGATGGGTGGGTTCTCCTGGTGACCACAGGGATGGTAGCCGGGCACGCGCAGCACACAGCACAGGGCCAGGCCTCACCGGATGCTGCATGAGGGAGCCCTGGTGCCCCAGCGGGAACTCTGTGACCTGAAGGCCACCCCCACTCAATGCTTCTTCCGTGGGTGGCGTTTCCGGTGCCGGATAAGACAGGAGCTGTAGGCAAAGGCTTTCCCACACTCTTGGCATTCATATGGCTTCTCTCCGGTGTGGGTTTTCTGGTGTTTCAGGAGGTTGGAGCCACAGTTGAAGGCTTTCCCACACTCCCCACACTTAAAGGGCTTCTCCCCAGTGTGGATCCTCTGATGTTTGGTGACGTCAGAGCTGTGCCGGAACGTCTTCCCACACTGATCACACTTAAAGGGCTTCTCCCCAGTGTGGACTCTCTGATGGCGAATGTGATCCGTCTTGTGCTTAAAGATTCGCCCGCACTCACTGCATTCATAGGGTTTCTTTCTCTGAAAAGGAATGAACACAGGGACACCCTCAAAGTCATCTTTAAACGAGGCGTCGAAGGCATCAAAGAGCTGTGCCTCGTCTTCAGGGCTCAGACTCGGCTCCTTGTGGTGCTCTCTGGGTGCTGCGGGTCTCTTGCTGGGTCTCTTGCCACCAGATGCTTTCTCTCCTTTCAGAGTGGCCTTCTGCACACCTGCCTCTGCCTCTGGGGCCTGGGTTCTCCTTTTCCTGCCTGCAGGCTTCTCCATGCTGATCCTGGGAGAAGGCACCCTGGAAGCTGAGGGCTCCCAGCTCCTCCTCCTGACACCACGCCCCTCGAGGCAGCTTCCCGCGGCGTGTGGCTGAGGTTCTGTGCCGGGAAGACGGCACCACGGGCTCTGTGGCTGAAAGGGCAAGACTGAATACCAGATCAAGGTGCTTTTGGTGCTACGAGCTCCCACCTCATCTCACCCGCCCCGGCTTCCTCCTCTTGCTGGGGCAGGGTTTCAAGTGTCCAGCAGGGTTCTGTGTGCACGAGCAATGAATGGCCACCACGTGGCTTTCTTTTCTCCACTTCCCTAACTGTCCCTTTCACACTGGGATCAGTGGGCATGCTCTGGAATAGGGGCTTCTGAGGGGTGTTTCCATCACCCACATCTTAGTGCTGAGCCGGGTGAAACGTGGGTTAGCCCCTTGGCCCACAGCAGCCAGCAAATCCCACACCTATCCCCGCTCAAATCCCCAAAGGGTTCCACTCGTACTACCAAGGCTTCCGCACCCCGGCCCTCACGTCTCCCTCCTCTCACCAGCTGGCTCTAGTGTCCCAAGCCCCCACCATCCTTCCTGCCCCTGCAGGTCTGCACAAGGAGGGCCCTTCGCCTTCAGTGGCTCCTTCTCAAGAGTCCCACACACCACTTCCCTCAAGTTACTCTCGTCTTTAACCAAATGAATAATTTTTCTAGTTTATACAGTTTCTTCCAGGGCTTTGGAAAAGCTCCTGGACATGGAAGTACGTCATTAACTGTGCTGAAAGTCTAAAAAATTGAACGATATCACTTCCGGGGCACACTGTTTGATCTCTGCTGCCGTCCACCGGGCCTCTCAGGAGGGGTGGCAGCCGTGGTACTGCTCTGGTGACTCCCCCACCACCTTCTTGCCTGAGCAACTGGCTCTTCTCATTCAGACTTGGGGCCAAAGCTGCAGCTAACTACCAAGTAGGCCTGTGCTTGCCTGGTCTGGACACTGTCCTATAGAAATGTCAGCCTCTTGCAAGGACCACTCTGGGAGAAGACCCGAATTCCCACCCACACGTCCACGTGACAGAGTCCCAACCTCAGCACCAGTTCACATGAGAGTTAGTCAACCAGAGCCAGAGGAGTAACAGGCAAGGCCCAGGTCTCTGCACCTGGTGTCAGCTGCACCTTTTCATTTGTTAAGAATCCTGCTCTTGGGTTCAATCCCTTAAAAAAAAAAAAAAAAAACCCTGTTCCATTTCTTCTGTGTATTATTTTGCCTCTAAGTACTAACTGATGGATTCCAGCACAACACCCTGAAAAACATCAGGCCCGTTGAGATGCTGGTAAAAGATAGCCCCATAAGATACGGGGAGCACTCTTCTGCTTGCAGCTCCAAGGAGGGTGGACTACCTGGCTCCTGGAACCACGCTGGCAGACAGTGTCCTTAGCAAAGTGTCAAGAGTCTCAGGATGGTCACTCTCGCCCACTAGGACATTCTCTTACCTCAGAATGTGGTGCTCCATGTAACAATACTCCACCTATTTGTACTGGTCAACCAGGCTGGAGTCTGAAGCTGGGGTCTAGTGTGAATAGGAAACGGAAGTGAAACACACACCTAAGTGAAATATTTTAATATAAATCCTTTGAATTCTCTTTGCTCAGTCGGGAGGGGATGTTTGGCCGTCCCCTCCACAAGGGGAAGTGGCCCCAAGTGACCAGAGTTCTACCTCACAAGGAGTTGGAGAGGGCAGTTTCCCAATGAAGCGTTCAGATGACTTAGCTACAGGCCAACACCCCTTCCTGTGGGCTCTGCCTGGAGATGGCTTCTGGGAGAAGACGTTCAGGTCTGGTGGGAGACGGAGCTGCAGGTGAAGCAGTCCTCTGTGCTGGCGGAGGCTCTGGGAACGCGGCACCACTCTTCTAGGAAGAGCAGGGGTGCTCTCGGAGGCTCCGAGCCCCAGGGCACTTTGAGGCCAGGTACTAGTAGGACGCGGGTGACCCAGGGACTGTTAGAACACACCGTGTGCCCCACAGGAGACTACTCTCCAGGACAAGTGTGAAGTCCTGAGCTCCACAGCAGTGTTCCCTTCTCGGGCGGCTCATCATGGTGTGCCAGCCTCCTTAGGAGGCAGGGGTTTTGAGGGTAGGGCTGTCTTTGTCCCCAGCCCCTGTCCTGACATGCTCAGAATACTTTTTATGATGGTGCCCTTGGCCCTCCAGGGGCAGGCATGAAGGCAGGGACTAGGTTTGCTCACTTCTCTACCTGTGTCCACACTGACTAGTGTGAACTGATAAACACAATCAATAAAAGTGTAAGTTATAGGTTATAGATTAGTTAAAAATATAGATGGTGGATACAAGATTTTTAGAATTGAGAAAAGACCATTATAAAGCAAGAACTGTCATAGGCCTAGGCCTCCATTTTACTACCTTCTATTAAAAAACTGTTACAAGAGCTGTTTCTGAAAAACTGAAATGAAAGCTGTTTTCTCATAATATACTTTTTTTTCTGTATTTTATACCCCACAAAATGTTCTCAACCCAGGACACGGTGGTCTTGGTGACCCAAGACTTTGAAGTAGATTCTTGCCCCCATTAACCACCTGCTCCGACTCAGGATACGGTTATCTAACACCTGCTCAGACCCAAGATGCAGTTAACTGAGTTGCAAGCTGATGCTTTTTAGCTTCTCTAACTTGCKTGCTTGATAACTGGAAAATTCCAGTCCTGCTTAGGGCTCACAGGTAACTACTGTCTTAGCATCTATGATTGGCTTGCTTGTATGACGCTGAGAAAAGCCCCTGAGCTGTGTTTTTCATCCTTAAATTCCCAAGACACAGGCCAGGAAATTCTGTTCTCCCACAGAGCCTCAGTCTCTACGGGTGGGTGACAGTCCCTGGCCAGGTAAGTAAAGTTCTGGTGGATTTGAATTTGGACTTAAGAGTGTTTTCTGAAGCGGTTCCTTATAACATAAAATAACCATTAAAAACGGAATCCCTCACTTTACGGGCCTGTGGACACAAGCAGTTATCCACTCAGTCCACATCAGCCTTGCTGCTGCTCCCTGGCCTGCTGTGCAACTTCGGGGTGGCTCCTTTATCTCTCTGATGAGGCTTCTCCAAGCTCTGGGCACCCAGCAGCAGGAGGGCTTCCCTGGAAGCCTGTCCCCCCGGCCCTGCCTTGGGGAACCTGGAACCACRGAGACTGGCCCCTTCGCGGGCTGGCCCTGGATGGACGGGCTCCCACCTGGCCAGTCGGACCCGCTCCAGCCTGCCGCAGGCCTCCGCAGCTGGCCCTCCGACGCCAGCGCCCGAGAGCGAGCCCGAGCCCGGCCCTCCTGCTGCCCATTCCGCCGCGCGCGAATRCAGGAGATACCTGGTGGAGCCCAAGGGTGGCGAGCGCCTCGGCCCAGAGGAGCAGACGCCCCGCCGAGCCCGGCTGGGGGCGGGCGGCCAGAGAGCACCGCCGCCCGGGCCCGGCCCGCCTCTCCCACCGCACCAGCGTGAGGAGCCCGCAGGAAGACGCGCCCCCCGCTCTCCCGCCGACACGCCCCTTCCGGTGCTGCTCTAGGCCGTCGCACGGCCTCTCGGTGGTGCTACGCCGTGTTCCGCCCCACCCGGGTCCCGCTTCTTCCGGCGCCGCTCTAGGACGTCACGCGGCTTCTCGGTGCTGACGCGCGGCCGGGTGAGGGCGGTGCCGTTTCCTCKGCACAGAGCCTGGAAGGCTGCCTGGAAGTCGGTAGGCGGCGCCCCTCCTCTGCGGGCCCCGGGCGCACACCGCGCCACCCCCCTGCCCTGGGCCTCTCGCCCGCCCCTTCCCGACTTTCCCCTCGCTGTGCTCAGAGTCTGAGCTGTTGGGACTTCGCGCCTCCAGCCCTGGGAGGTCAGAGAGCCTCTTCCCTAGGAGGCCCAGCTGCAGGCGTTCCCCATGTGGCCATGGGAAAGGTACAGAGCTCAAACGCGGGACTCCTCGGAGCCCGCTCAGCCTGCAGCTGGTCTCCTGCGCCTGCCAAGCCTGGGTCTCCCCGGCCGCCCTGGCCTCCCCCGGCCGCGGAGGCAGGAGGGCCGCTGGGGCCCGGTCCGCGGTCCCCCGTGCTCAGGGGTAGGCAGCCCGGAAAGCGCTCCGCCAAAGGCTTCTCCGCATAGTCCAGTCCAGCGAGGTCCATACCTGCAATATTCTCCCCAGCAGGACTTTCCGAGGCTGCTTTCTTTGCTTTTTAATTAAAACTTTTAAGTAAAAGGTAATTGTATATTCGCGCCCGGTTTTAAGAAATAATAGAGAGCCGGGCACCGTGGCGCAAGCCTGTGATCCCAGCTACCGGGAGGCTGCAGTAGGAGGGTCCCGAGTGGGAGGCGAGTCTAGACAATTTAGTGAGAGGYCTTCATGAATTTGGGGCGTGGCTCCGAGGTGGAGCCCTTGCCTAGCAAGCAGAGGCCCGGAGTTCCGTCCCCAGTAACTCAGATGACCAGGATGATGATATACTGAGCAATCAGTTGTACACTTTGCTGAGTTTCCTCCAAGAATGTCACTTTGCCTGACTAGTTCGATATCACATTCAGATCCTTAGCAGCGCTGATCTGTTCTCTTCATTTTTTAAACTAACGCTGMAATGAAGTCGGGGACCCTCACCCCGCCCCGGAACTTTCCTTTTCTCCCTGGGTGTCCCTCTGTAGATGTTCCCTCCTATTTATTGCTGAAGTGCCCTCTGGTGTGTGCATCACAGTTTGACCATTCACCCTAGGAGTGACTGGGATTGGCACTGTTTCCAGTTTGGGATTGTAACAAAGTTGCTATAAACACTCATGTTCAGGCTTTTGTTTGAAGGTAACCTTCATATCACTGGGATCAGTGCCCAGGAGTGCAATGAGTAGGTCATATGGTAATTGCACATTTAGGGTGTTTTTTTTTTTTGTATTTATTTTTTAGTTGTACACAATACCTTTATTTTGTTTATTTATTTTTATGTGGTGTTGAGGATCGAACTCAGGGCCTGGCACATGCTAGGCAAGTACTCTACTGCTGAGCCACAACCCCAGCCCTGCACATTTAGTTTTGTAAGAATCAGCCACACTCTTTTCTAGAGTGGCCATACAACTTCCCCTTGCCACCAGTAGTATGTGTGTATGGCCTCATTTCCCTGCACCCACCCCAGTTTGGTGGTTCTACTATTATTTTGGCCATTCTGTGTGGTGTGTGGGGACACCTCCCTGTGGTTTTAATTTGTGTCTTCAGGGCTAGTGGTGATGGGTCTCTCCACATGCCTGTTGTGGTCTGCTTGTCTTTCCCCTCTGAGCTGGGTAGTTGTTCCYTCATGAGGTGGTAGGTAGATGCACTGTAGATATGATCTTGTCCCATGTGTGGATTGCAGAGATGCTCCCACTCCCGTTTGTTCCTGTGTCCCCTCCCTGGGTCTTTTGCTGAGTGGTTTCTATTTTGGTATGGCTGCCCACCATGTTCATGGGATAATTGGGCTGGAGCGCGCTGGACTGTGTGGTCCCAGCTTCTCTTTGCTGAACACCTGAGACACTAAAGCACCTTTTCCTTAGGGAGCCTCTGCAGCCAAGCTGGAAGGTCAAGCCTACCTCCCACATCCCTGACTTCCAGGAGCTCTCTCTGGACCAGTGGCACCCTGCCCCACCCTACAGTCTGGTGGGCAGGAGCTGTTTATGTGCACAGCATGAGGAGGTACTGTCTCCCATGGCACCAAGCAGGTGATGTCTCTTCTGGAAAGTTCCTGAGAGTTGTCTGTGTTGGGACCTGGGTGCAGAGGAGAGGGAAGCCTAGCTCTGCCTCTGGTGGTGCCCCCTGTTCCCGTGTTCAGCAGCTTCTGCAAGCCCTTGTGGTCTCTGAGGGCACTGATAACGAGTCTCCTTCCTCAGGAATTTCCTGCTCTGGGGACAGTGCCTGCCTCAGCAAGTTCTCATAGTCCAGGGCCAGGAGCAGGAGGTGCCTGTGGACTGCGGCTTCCTGTCCGGGGAGGCAGGAAATCCCCAAGGAACTTTAGAGGAGTCAAGTTCCTGGCCTGTGTCTCCCTTCAGTAGAGCAGGGATGGGTAGGTGACTCTGGAGTAGGAATGAACACTCAAGACACACCTGATCTGAGGAGCCCTTGGGTACTGTAGGTGACTTATTTTCCCAGACCTGTCCATTGGGCCCCAGGAAGGGTCTGCATACCCCACAGAGCCCCCTCCCGACTCCCTGGAGCCAGGCACGGGCACCCTGCACTCTTGAGCCAGCCGATCATGATGGGTCCTGTGCAAGGAGGGAACACTGTGTGGTGCTGGGCCTGCTCCCAGGGGCTGGTCTGCAGCCTGTGCCCCCTTCCTTCCCAGGTACCACTGGCCCCTGGGGCAGACGGGTCACTCCTTATGGTAGTACCCCTGCAGATGCCTCTGCCAGAGCCAAGCCACATGTCTCCAGCTTGTGTCCCCATGCTTCCTGATCCCAGGTGAGGATGAGGGTCAGCTAAATGACCGTGTGAGGACAACTGGCACAGGGCAGCTTACAGTAGCCTGCTCAGCCCCTCAGGCCTTAGGCAGAAGTCCACTTTTCCTAGACTTCCAGATAGACATGTCCTGACGGGCCACTCCAGGCGCCGTGCTCCCAGACATCTGCCATCCTTGTGGTTAGCCAGAGGCCAGCAGGACGTGTATGTACCTGTACACTGGGTGTGAGTGACAAATGTGTGTGGGTAACTGCTGAGTGTGGTGGTCAGTGCTGCGGGCTCCCTGGAAGCACCGGACCCCCTGCCTTCCCAGTCTCAAGTGCCACAAGCTCTGTCACGGTGCCCGGGTTCCTAGGAGTCGTGTGCTGCCCTGCTCCTCTTCCTGCCTCACGGTGTGGCTGTATTTGGAGAGGCGAGTTTTCATAGAGGCGTCCGAGGTAAAACGAGGTCATCAGAGTGAGCCATAGGAGGACACCCAGAGAGGACGAGTGCACATGTGTCCAGGAGAAACCAGCTCCACCCACTTCTTGACCTTAGACTCCAGCCCCAGAGCCGTGAGGAGGGACTTCTCTGTCACTTTACCCCTGCCCTGGCATTCACTGGGCAGCTGGAGGCCCTCCCAGTGTGGCTGCTGTTCTCCCTGGGACCCCACCCTGTTCCCAGGCCCCCACCCCCACATGGAATGAGGCTGGCCGTCTCCTCCCTGAAGAGCTCCGCTCGGCTCCGGCCGTTCACTGCTTCCTGGTCACAGCAGAGGTGGACCCGAGGCTCTCTGCACCAGGGTCTGAGGTGGAAGGCTGCATTCTCTGACTGAAGGGGGACGAGGAGGGATGGACAGGGAGGCACCGAGCTGCCCTTGGCACTCCTGCGGTTAGCACGAGCCCCACCCTAAGCCTGCCCTAAAGTGCCCACACAAGAGCCCCCCCATGCTGCCAGAACCTGAGGGCAACCACAAAGAGGTCTCTGTGGGCCGAGCTTCCTCAGGAGCCCACAGTGGTTCCCTGTCCAAGCTTGGGGTCTGGAATAGGAGTGGAAATGTCCCCAGTGCTCTGCCAGACAATAGGAGGCCCTCTCCCAGGATTCTGTGCATGGACCATGCTCAGGCTGGTGGTTCCAGGAGGAAAATGAAGGAGACTGCCACTGACACCCACCAGGCGTGGCCTGGACTCCTGCCAGGTGTGGCTGCAAGGACCCCAGGCCAGGTGGGAGGTAAGTGCCTTCTCAATACGTGCACAGGTGGCTGTGGTCACCTGGACTGGAGAGGGGACCAGGGCTTCCTGCGTCACCGTGTGGGGTACACCCGACTTTCTCCAACAGGCCAAGCTGCACACCCCTCCTGGGTGTCCTTGGGCTGGCTGGGCTGGCTTCYGTGAGCCCAGGTCAGGGATAATCTCTGCTGACCACACTTGTGCCCGAGGAGTTCGTCCAGCCCTGCCAGGCCCTTGTCCTTCTGGCTCCGGGCCTCTGCTCTGGGCAGGGATCTTAGCCCGTGCTCATGCCCCCTGCCTGGCAGACAGAGCACTGGGGCCCAGGGCAGGGAGAGGGGTGGTCTGTTTCCTAACAGCTTGCCATGGTGGCAGCTGAGCCAGGTGTTCAGGACAGCGGCAGCTCAAGGCAGAGAATCTCTGCCACCACCCAGTTGCTGTCACGCATGTGGGGATGTGCCAGGTTAGGTCTGCGGTTACCTTCACCCCAGCCAGGAGACCCCGGAGTTTGCTGAGTTGATGCTGTGAGCACAAGCAGCAAGAGCTGCTCTCTGCATGTCAGGTCCCTTCATATGGAGGTGGAGTTGTGCTTCCCTGGAGCCATGGCGTGCACCAAGGCCTGGACACCAGAGGCTGCGGAGAAGCAAGGCTTGAGGGAAGAGTGCAAGAGGTTGCTGCTAACAGGCTCCCTAGCCCCTCAGGAGGCTGGAGCCAGAGGATAGCAAGTTCAAGACCAGCCTCGGCAATGTAGCAATATCGTGCCTCAAAAAATAAGAAGGGCTGGAGGTGTAGCTCAGTGGTAGAGTGCTTGCCTGGCATGCACAAGGTGCTGGATTCAGCTCTCTCACACTCACACATGCATGCACAAATG